TATCATGTCTGCATCTTGTACAGCAATTAACCACTAGAAAGAATGTATGCAATGTGTTAATTATTGAAACTGTCCTACCAATTTGATTTGAAACTGTCTGATTGCTATTTGTTAATCAATAAAATTATGGGAAAAAAACAAAGAAGAAAAAAATTGCTTCTTTACTGAACATATGCAGCCTTTGTATGTTCTTGTTACCTAGAACTATGGAATAGCTATTTGCAAAGTATTTATATTATAGTTGGTATTAGAAATTATTTAAATTATATGGAAGATACGGGCAGGTTACATGAAAATATAATATCATTTTATGCGAGGAGATTGAGCATCTGAAGATTCTGGAATTTGCAGGGATCCTGGAGAAAATCCACAGAGGATACCAACCCCTGTCCTCTGACTGGGTGAGCCTCATGGGGGTTGATTCTCTTGGACTGAGTGCTCGTCCTTCTCTGAAGCAAAAACAAACACACACACACCCCAAAAACCTGCTGCCCCCCCTTTAGTCTTTGCTGTTTTTCACCACCATGAATGGCTCCCCTCTGCCATGTGTCACTCTGCCTTGGAGCCAGGTGAATATGGACTCAAACCTCCACTAACTGTGAGCTAAATAAACCTTTCCTGCCTTAATTCTGGGTGTTGGGTATTTGTCCCAGCAATGAGGAAAAAGTAACTAAGACATCCTCCCAAGTTCCTGTGTTGAAATCTTGTTTTTTGGGTGGTGGTGTTATTAGGAGGTAGAAGAAATTCTAAGAGGTAAAGCCTAGCTGGAGGAGATCACAGAATGATACGTATTGTCCAGTCTATCTCTCTCTCTCTCTATCTCTGTCTGTCTGTCTGTCTGTCTGTCTGTCTTTCTCTCTCTCCTTATTGGTCTCCAGCAGTTGAACAATCTACTGTAAAGTTTCCACCTTGCTAGAGCCCCTGAACAGTGGAACCGACTTGCCATCGAGTGAGATCTCTGAACCCATGAGGAATAGTACATCGTTCTGGGCTTTATTATAGCTATGAAGATATGACTACACACTGGCTCTCCATATGTCCCCACAAGTGGTGGTTAGGACTCCTCTGCTGTCTTCAGGGAGAGGCCACTGGCTCTATCTCAACTCAGCGCAGACCTTTACTATGAACAACAAAGTTTATTCCAAATGACAATGCAAGATTATACAAGCCTGTATTTGCCTCTCTACTTCAATGCATTTTAAAACCAATTATTCTGAAGGTTGCTAATTTTTGAAACAATCAAAAAGTAAGGCAATTAAGTGGGTTCTCAACATCAAATAATTCACTCGTCATAATTTATCACCACTGCTGTCTCTCAGTGTTTTGAAGAAGACTCTTTGTACCTGTATTGCTATCTCAAACGTATTTTAAAATGATCCATGAGTGTGCTGTTTGTAAGTAGGTGACAAAATTATGCTGAATCTGCCTGAATGATAGGCAAAGATGGCATGCCTCTTAGAGAGCAAAATGGGCTCAATAATGTGTGGGAAAACATGTAAGAATGGCTATAATGGTAAGAATTAAAATGACATCCAACAATTACTTTCAATTTGAACTGAGGTGAAGAAAATCAAAATTACAATACTCTTGTGATTAAACTTTGATGAGATGAAAATGTCATCATTGTTTGATGAGAATTTTTTTATTAGAGTTCAAAGAATATGAATGATTTAACCACAATAGACTGACACCACAGGGCTGAATATGCTCTGTCGGTATTCCTCAACTCTTCCTTGCTGCAGGTCACTGAAGAAATCTCAGCACATTTGTCTCCTTTGGTCCAACTGTTTCCATAACATCAGCATTTGGAACAATAAGATAAAAGTCAAGTGCTTTGTGATAAGTTTTGACATTGAAATCTTGGAGCAGCTTAATACGGTGAAGTATTTCCAGGAGCCACGAGCTGAGATTTGAGGCTCACTTTTTTTTTTTTTTAAAGGAGAAATTTTAGAGACCTGTTTTCTTGACAGAAGTAGGGAGATCTTGCTTTTATTTTGAATTCCCTGTTGAAAATCAAGATTCAGTAGGGCCTTTCACTCCGCAGGAAGGATCTACTTCTCTTTGGCCTGACATTTTGACAGTTCAGTGGAGATAAGGGCTTAGGTTTGTCAAAGAGGATGCACAGGCCAATTGTCTCTGGGGCCCTCTAATTACAGTGCAGGAGGACAAGAGCTCCCAAAGTCAGCCTAGGGATTTTTCTAAATTGTGCAGGGACAGCTGCTGTTTCAGAGATTCCTGCGGGGAGAGGCAGGTGGGAGAGCCGGGGGACCCTTTCTAGTGTCCTCCTTCCTCCTCTTTCATTTCTTTTACTTTCTCCTCTGAAAGCCCAAAGTTTTAGTAAATAGATTTCTGCAGTCCTTGGTAAAGTATTTTAAAATATTTACTTCTGTGCTTTTTGTCTTCTGCTATTAGGCTGGAGTCAGATTATTTGGGGACATAAGCTACAATTCTGTATTTTAGAAACAAGGCAGAAACAGGTATATTAAATTTCATTTTCTACATACAAATCTTTCCTCTCCTGTTGAAGGAAAAACATTAGCATTGGTCATTATAGCCAATTATTTTCCAAGGCTGTTGCCAGTGTGACAATAATACGATTTTGTCCATTCAAACAAACCTTTATATTTTTCCAGCTTTTTCAAAAGCAGTCTTGTAATTATAGGCTTGTTTAGGGTAGGTGACATGTGGTAGCTCAGATTATTGCTGGGTCCTATTTCCAGACTCCCTTAATAATATTTCATTAAATATATATCTGATGAAGACATTTAATTAAAATTTTCTGTGGATTCCTGAACAAAATAGGTACTCAAGTATATGTGGATTGGGTAACTGACAGGTAACTGTGGATTAAAATATATACTGATAATTAAAATTGGGATGATGGACGAACCCTCAGTGACTAGCAAAAAGAAATTGTCAGACTAGATAAAGCGTTAATTTTGACTAAAATAATGGGAGGTATGCGTTTTCTTCCTCTGGCTCACAGAAGAAAATTTTTTTGGCCAAAGTCTCTTTTAGAATTACTTTGTAGGCTTAGCTGATTTATCTTTGTGGCATTTGCCCTTGAATGCTTAAATCCTCCTTCAGAGGTGGTCAAAACGATAGTAAGAGATTGGGTCGGGAACAACAGAGAAGTTAAGTTCCAGTATGTCGCAATCTTGACTGGATATGAAAAATCAAAGGCTTGCGAAAGGCAGATAATGAAAGTTGGAGCTAGCCGGAAGCACCACAGCCAAGAGGCAACAGCTACCAGCAGAGAACTGGGGACAGACCGCCCGGGGGCAAGCCCAACCTCTACCCGCAGGAGCGCCATGACTTTTAATCGGTCACTCAGGCTTAAGCTTTGGTGTCCTCAGTGAAGTAAAACAGGGATAACTGCAGCAACTCCTCTGGCAGGTTCTGGTGAGAAAACAGCAAACTGCACAGGGCACAGAACCAGTGCAGAGCGAGCGCTGAGCAGTGAAAGCTGAGCCAGTCACTAAGGTTGGACACAGGAGACAGTAATGGTATCTTGGCAGTAATTCCTCAACTTTGGTATTTCTGGATCGAGTACGTAGTGGTCTTGATAATATTTTCTTAAGAAAAATGATACCAAAATTCCCCTAAATTATCTGAAGTACCAAGTAAACCCACAATAGCAGGCAACCCTATTCTCTTTGCTGAGACCTTATCCAAGGCCTATATTTTCTCCAGGTCTGCAGTACTTAATTTTCTGCCCTGCGGTGGTGTGGTGCACTGAGTCCGAGTCTGAAGATGCGGGTGTCACTGAAGGGGAATCTGGCTGATGGGAAATTATACAGAGCACGTGAGGAATTGGAATTAATTGGGATATGAGATTCAGCTTCTGCTCTACTACTAGATAGGATCTTCTGGGAAATTTGCTTATTCCTCTTAATTACTGTGATTTTGTTTTGGCAGTATGCAGATCAAACCCAAAGTCTTACACATATGCAAGAATTCAACCTCTGAACAAAGTCTCCAGCTTGTATCTGATTCCCTTGATGCTTGGTTTGCTCATCTTTTCAGACATGGACAAGAGTGAGATCTACCTTATAATAAGCCTTGAAGATTAAATGGTTGAGAACAATGTTTAAATTCTAGATCCCATACATATGCACTCACAATTAATAATTATTCTAATTATTCAATATTCTTCTTTCTGGGCCAGTGACGTAGCTCAATGGACTAAGCACCTGCTTAGGCAAGCGCAGGGACTGGGGTTTGATCCCCAGCACCACATGCCACACTAGCCCTGCCCCCAGGCACACTGAGCCACCACTGAGACCTGGCGTGGTGGTACACGCCTGTAATCTTAGCACTAGGGAGGTTAAAAACAGGAGAATCACTATGAGTCCAAGCTGCATAGTAAGACCCTGTACAACATACATTAAAAATAAAATCCTTCCTTCTTGTCTGTGACTAGTGTTCTCATAAATCTCTGTCTCATCTGTGGAAAATGATCCTTTAAAGAGAAGAAGGAGTCCAGGCTATGATTTTCCTTGCTTACAAATGACCCTAATACCTAAATAGCGGAGGGTTTCTTTTGTCAGCCACGCATACATACATTTATGTTTTTACCCATTTTAGAGCTACTGGGCACTATTACTGTGATGTACAAAAAGGTTATAAACCTCCAGGTGCCAGCTGCTTAGAGATTTTTAACATGTGGAGGTAGAAGAATTTAACTCAGCTTTTTAGAGTCCTTGATATTTTCCTAAGCTGAAATAATGAAGGAGTGGAAAATAAAAACAAACAAACAACCATTAATTCAGGTGACATATTGTTTTGGACATTTTTCCAGTGGGATAATTATCTAAAAGCAGGCTGACATTTATATCTCTAGCTTTCTATGCTTGTTAAAATATTTTTCTTGCTGAGATACTCATTGAGCCCAATTTCATCTAACATCTGGCCATTGTATAAATATAGTAATGAAAACATGTCTTGTTGCTCACACTTTAGGTATAAATTTTGGAAATCCAATTAGTGTTTCATTCTTTGTGTGCATTTGTCTTTTTCTTTAGTGTTTGAGCTAATTTCAGGCTCCTACCTGAAACTATAAGAATTCAAACATTTCACATACAACTCTGCAGCCAAAAGCAACTGGATTGAATAATGCTTTGTAGCCTTTCTTCATGATTGTAAGATACTAATTAATTTTTTTGGGTCCTTACAGCAGGCACTTATTAAGTAAAGTGTCAAGCCTCTTTTCCATGCCTAGGAGTGGTGGTAGGGATGAGTACGGGTGTAGAATATGTAAGACACAGTCTTAGTCCTTAATGGGTTTAGAATCTAGTGGAGGAGACAGATAGCCACACAAATCATTTCACTGCAGTGTAACCAATGCTGTGGAAAAATATATTTACCTGGCTTCTAAGTGATCATTCGCCCTCAGTGGGGTAAGTTTCATAATACACACATGATTGTCCTTAATCCTGCACTGAGTGTCTAGAACCTCTCAAAATCGAGCAGGCCCTCAAACAAGGAGCCAGCAGAGTGAGGCTGTGCTCACTGAACCCACATTATCCATCTGAGTAGGCCGAATCTGTCGAATGCCCTAAGGACAGATCATCTATTTAGCAATGCCAGGCCCAGCTGTTTGGGGCCTTTACTTTCAGACTCACAATAACGATATCTGCTATTTTATGGCCCATTTTGCATGGGTGTGAACATTCTAAACCAAGCCCGGGAATACATAATTTTCACCGTCTCCATAAGCCTACCACAGTGAATACTTTGCAGGCTCTCAAACATACTTTTGATTTCATGGATTCCATCATCATTTCATTTGGTGTTGATTCTATTCAGAAACCTAAACCTCCTGTTCATCCCAAAGGAAGTTCATAAGCTCCCATTTACAAAAACTGCAAGGGAATTTTGAACATAATCAAGCACAATGTTTACCTTTAAAGATGTTCTGAAGTTTATTTGCATAAGCTTAGCTGTACGAGACGTAACATAATTCATGGAAATCAACCACAATGCTAATACCTTAATAGATTATTCCAAATATTAGACATTACAGCTTAAATCTCTTTAACATCAACTCTAATGTTGGAATAACATTTCAGTTAATAAATAATTGTGAATAGAACCATATGTTCAGTTTATTCTCCCTGGTTTATCATGAATTGCAATTTTATTATTATTCGGAACATAAAAATGATAAATAATTGTGTATATATTTTCACAAATTGCATGTTTATTTAATTAATCCTGAAGAGAAGCTGGAAATACATTCTAATGGCTTTATATAAGTAGGTGTGTTTTTTAGTCCTTTGATTTTCAACTCAAGTGGGTAACACTATAACTGCTCTTCAATCCAGTGTTCATTGCTAGTGCTATGTAGCACTTATTTGATACATATCAATAAAGTTGTCTATTCAGCTCAGACTGTCATTCTCAGTTGTCACAAAGGCTATTTCTCTGTCACATGCTCATAATGTGAGGGATAGAGTCAATATATTGCAACAAACCCCCTTATCAGGATTAAATTTAGCATTTGAATTTGCTCCTCTGTTTTGGAATTTCCCTGTCATTACTGAGTTTAAACATGAGTGGCCTGAATTATGGCCTAGAAGAATATTCTGTTTGGAGTCAGGCCTCTAATGTTTTAGACAGCTGGCTTCCATCGTGTATGTTTTCCAAATATGTGTAATTTCCTTGTAGGACAGTCAACACTGAACAATAGCTAGAGCTGGGATCTACGAGCTACAGTACGAAAAACTTAGATCACAGGAAACATGAAAATTTAAGAAAGTGTTCAAACACAGTGCAGGCCCCTGAAATTTGTTAACTATTTAGATTCCATAAAATATTTTCTTTTCCTTTTTTTTTTTTGCGGAACCGGGCATTGAACTCAGGCCCTTGCGCTTGTCAGGGAAGTGTTTATTCCACTGAGCCATCTCCCCGGCCCCCAGAAAATATTTTCTTCCAGTATAAAAAGGTGAGGCTTCCTGGAAAATTAAGGGTCTACATTCTATGATTTTTTTAAAAAAATGTATTTGGTACAGGGTCTCACTACACAGCTCCGACTCCTACTGACGCTCACTTTCAGCCTCCTCAGCACTGGGATTACAGGCATGCGCCTCCACGCCCAGTCTCAGAGGCTGGCTCGGTGCACACAAGAGCAGAGCCGGAGCAGCATGGGGTGCTGGGGACTGAACCTCGGTCCCTGTGCTTGCCTGAGCCCTAAAATCCTTTGTTTAAACTTAAAAATTGATTCTTTCCCTCGTGTACTATTTTGACCACATGCATCTTCAGAGGAGGGGCCACCCCGCAATTTTGGGGTGTTTGCGCACTCTTTCTGTGGGAAGAGCCAGTTGGCATTGTTCTACGACTGGGCGTAATTCATTTATGTCTTCCTGGTTTTTCCTCTCTGATCTCTTCTCTGTGTATCCGTCTGCTGCCGTCTCCTGGGAGCAGCACTATGCACTTCATTAATAAGAAAGGATTAAAGAAAAAAGCCCTGGTCTCCTAATACACTTGGATAATTTGGTGCCATCCACCAGGCAATAGACCCCTGCTGCATAGATGTCATTAGAAAGGTACAATTTCATTACTTTTTACTGGCAGAGCCTTGAGTGAAATACAAAATGTGTTGTCTCTTACGCAGAAAGAAAAGAGTGCTGAAGCTTCCATCCACTCCATGCCCCCAAAAGAGTCAAATGCAAAAATATGTTTTATGATTTTTACATTTAATGCCTCCCTTTAATGGTACTTGCAAATCATGCCTTTTATCAAATGTTGAACAAAATAAGAATTAAAACATTATTTCTATTTTTAAATCCCAAATGAGATTTCTATGTTTTTACTAACACATTTGCTTGGAATACCTACTATGTGCCCAGCACTCTGCTGGGTGCTGAGAAACAAGCTACAGCATTGTTCACTTTTAAAAAACCTTTGATTTATTGACTGCTATCATTGGAAGTGAATGTAAAAGTGAGTGCACATGAAGTGAACCACACAACAGAACGAAGATGAGGCTAAGCCTGTATGCTCAGAAATGTGTTGAACGCTTGCCTTTTCGCTAAGCTTAGCTTTGAACTGACAAGCTTGCTGAGGGCCCTTGTCACTTTTTGAACTGAAGCATCCCTCGATCTCAAGCGTTTAGTGGAACATTGTGCAAATATTTGAAATAAAGGCCACAAACCACCCCAGCAGGTTCGCCCCGTAGTTTCTACAGACGCCGTCCCTCAGGAAGCGGCCCGCGTCACTGTGCAGCAGCGCCGTGGATGCACCGGTGACGCAGGGCCCAGGCTGTAGGCACCTGCCATAAAATACGTGAAGACCCCAGTGACCCTGGTGTGGCGAGCCCAAGATCCGCGCACTCGCGCACACCGTTCCTCTCCTAGCACCGAAGAGAATCAGGTTTAATAATGGTCCTTTATCTTGCTGCCGCACACACACAACTGCCAACACCACTAAGAAGTGACACACAGCGGGAAATGTGCCGGGGAGAAGAAAGCCTTTGATGACCAGCTAGTGACATGTCTGCTCCTTGCAATGCTGGGGATTCACTTTTTCCGACTACTAGCTTTTGTCCTGCAAATTGACATTTGCAGCAGCTCTTTGTCTAAGATAAAGGCCAGACTAGACAGTTAGGACAGATAGAAACTGGGGGTTTCCAGAACATTCTGCTGACAAAAGGCAAAGCAGTGCAGAGAGCACAAGCTACTTTAACAAATATACCAGGGTAACAAAACACTTCAAAATCAGGCTGCGTCACATACAATATCTTTTTAAACAGGTTTGAAAAGAGTGGATGTCATCTCCCTTTTATGCCTCAACCATAGCTTGCCTTGTCTGTCACACATTTCAGTTTGCTCAAATACCATTACATTTGTAGTAAAGATCAACAAATGTCAAAAAAGCCAGAGAGCAGTGCAGGTGGGGACTCTGCAGAACACGATTGCACCTTCTAGAGCGAGCAGGGCTTAAAGGCCAACAAAGTCTTTAATCAAGTAGAAGTTCTGACTGCAAAAATGAAGTCTCACCTAATGTTTCAGTATAGATAACGAAAGTTACAGGTGCACAAATCCCCCAGCTTTGCCAATAAATTAAAAAAAATGCAAAGTGGTTACATGGTTAAAAGCTTAGTCTGTTAACTTTGTGTGATGCATTTGAGGATATGCACTGAAAACAGAGCGGCCATTTGATGCCAGATACAGAATTCCCTTTTTCTTGTGCTTTTTGCTTGATGGTAACTTTTCTCCCACCCATTATAAAATTTCCTGTGTATTTGTCTTGAATCTTAGTAGGTATCCCTAGTGATTTAGATGTCTTTTTAGGAGGAGGAACTAATAAATATAGTTACCAATTTTCTGGACTTTAGCCCATATTATCTTGCATATCAAGGAAGAAACAGAATCATAATAAATTGGAGTTGGGGTTGAAAGTTGGATATTTGACAAATATGGAAACAGTTGATGATGAAAGATGAAAGATGACCATAGCGCATATTCTTTTGCAGAGGTAGTCTCTAAGGAAGGGATTGGTTATGAGAGGACTTACTAGTTCTTCTTTTGAAGGTGCACGACCTGCGGCATACTGCATTTTGTCATTGTTAAGCTTGACTCAATGGAACACATATTCAAATACCAGTATCATCTGTGACACCCAGTTCCTCACAGAGGAGAATAAACTGAAAGATTTGTCTCTATGTTTGGTAGGACAAGACTTAATCAAATCTTAACACATCTTTCAAATTGGTCATCAATAAAAGGAAAGTAGATAGACTACGTTTATATTTGCTTTGGGGATAGTTTAACAAGAAGTCTGTTTTAGATTTGAAATTCACAATGGGTTTCTTTCTTTCCTCCTTGGTAAGAGAGAAATATGGATTGCTTAGACAGAATAGTAGGAGAAATGGTAAACCTGTGTGTGTCTAACTTATAACAAATCTGTTTCCTTAATGGGTGGCAGGAAATCTGAGGACTGTTCTAAGGAATCTCGTCTGCTCTCAGTGCTATCCTCTAGTCATACCGAAGACAACACCTCTCCGGATGGGTCTTTCCCTTTCTTCTCCTCACCCCGGTCAATGTCGATCACATGCACCACTCCAGGTTTCAGAATTAAGTCCTCGGTTTCCACCTGGCTCCTGTTGTCCTCCACCTCCATGTAACTCCCTTTGGTTTGTTGGGCAGCTTTGCTGAAAGCTTCTTTAAGCCGACGTTTCAGTTCAACATCTGGACAGAAGACGTACTCATAAAGGCCACCAGCGAGGACAGCTCCTATGATGGGTCCGACCCAGTATATCTGGAGGAAGGGTCCAAGCAGACGAATATTAAAGGAAAGCTATTTCACTGAACAACTCATGATTATAGGATTTAGTGCAGTAAATTAAGAGCACTTATGTCATACACGGAAAACAGGGCAATTAGGAGATGAGAGAATATACCGAATCCACACCAGAGAGCCATAAGTTATTAAATAGCATTAGAACAGGAAATAAGAAAGGATTGTTCCTTCCCTTTTCCTCTTTTAATTGATTACATTTTTCAATTTTCCAATAATTTTTAACATAAAGATAGCTCCTCTTTGGTGGAACTATGAAGTTAAGCAAACATGAAGAATTGTTGAACCAAAATAAAAAAGAAAAAGAATTTGTGGAGCACACTTCTTTCACTGATTCAATATTGCCAGCCTAGTTTGGTTTTATGCATAATCAGGGCCACATAGAACTTATCATTTTGGGGCTCTTATATTTAGTACCACATGATCCCTGGTCTCCCACCTCTACTACTTAGCAGCTTTGTGACTGCCTCTATTGGTCACTTTACTTCCTTTATCTTAGTCTCCTCAATGGCAATGTAGGGGTTAAAATTAAACATACTTTACAGATATGAAGGCAAAATAACACTTGTAAAGCGCTGAACAGTTCCTAATTTACAGCCACAGTCTCCACTTCTTTGAAAATTTAAAGATGTATGTGGCTAGGATGGCTATAAGTGATTATTTTCTTTATGATGCATGCTTTTTCTCTTTAAAATTTGGTGGCTTGACTCTAGTTTAAAACCTGTGTTTTGTTTATTTCTCTTGTTGCAGTTTTCCTCTAAGCGGTGACGTGGTGAAAAAAAAATGTATTGGATTTATGATTGATGGCTAATTATCATCCATAAAGATTCAACTGATTGAAATTCCATAGGATTTCAATAAATGAGAGTTTTAATCATGTCACTTATGCACCTAGAATAAGCTAAGTTTTGAGTTTTAGTAAACTATAACATGTAGTTTTGAGCACAAATATACTATAGAGTATCATATACTAATTCAAAAGATTGATCTGGGAAATAAAAATGTTTATTAAGATTCTCTGAACTAGTCACACTTGGCTCTCCTCTTGTATTAGATCCGTTAGTCCTAGCAGCCACCTTTGAGATAGATGCCACTATTACTCTATTTTATGGATAAGAAAACTCACACCTTGATATAGCAAGAAGCTCTTTGAAGATTTCAGGCTTAGAAAGTGGTCAAGCTAGGATTTAGGTCTGCCTAACTTCAGTCCTCCCTTTTGAGCCATTTGACTGTTTTTCGCTATGCTACACTTCTCCCATTTGAGAAAAATTCTGATGAATGTTATTGCTTAAAACACCCTCTGGAAACAAATCACACTAAACATCTTTATTGTAAAATTTAAAGAAAATTTACATGTTAAGTCAAAGTTGAGCAAACATCCTTTAGCCATTCCATTGTCAGAGTGACTGACAGAACTAAGCTTGTTGTCTTGAACAGAAATGAACCAGTAGGAGGGTTTCTCTTTCCAAGAAGAAACAAGAGCCTTTCTCTAAATGTTTGCTTTCTGATTTTTTTTGAAAGATCTTACTAAATTGCTATTCTACAGGATCTAAACCCCAGAAAGGAAAAGAGAGATGATTAAATAATTGCTATCTTTCTCTAATACATCTGAGAAGGGCACAGTAGGTGCTGCTTTCAAAAATAAACAAGCTCACTGCCAAGTTGCTATTCCAAAGCAACATCATGTATATTTTAAAATAACTTTAAACATTTATAAAGGTAAGGATTTTCTGTTGCTAAAAGTAGAAAAATATGTAGACATATAAAGGAAACTAGAATGTCATATAAAAATCACAATATTTTGATATTTCTACTATGTTGTCTAGCTACAAGTGTTTTTTTAATTTTAAATACTGTATAATCATTGCTTCTCAATGAACATTTATTTCTAGGAAAATTAAATTTGTTAGAAAATAATAGGGAGGAATCTTCGAGCTAATCAACAAGACAAGAATTTTCCTTCAATTTCAATTTTGTCACTTTAAACTTCTGTCTGCAAAATTCCATTTTGGTTAATGTGGCAAATCTTTTGAAACATAAATTGAGTGGGTGGAGTTTGGTCAGTAAAATAGATTGTGATAGTTAAAGATGGAATTCACCACTCTCTGGAAGCACTGCTACCTCATTGATAAGCAGCTTAGGCCTGTGACCAAAAAGTGGGCCTTTTCTTGTAGTCATTTATTTTTCCAGCTCCAGTTATGGTGATCATACCATAAACATTTGCACCATTTATTCCACACCATCTGCTGCTCAAATGCTTCCAACCCACACACTATTAATTGGGTCATGCTTCTGTAACCAAGAAATATTTTTGCTACAGACTATGCTTTTAGGTCTTTTTTCTTTTTCTTTTACAAGTTTACTTTCTGTTATGTTGGGAAGGCTTTCCTTTCAATTATTTAAACACCACATTCACTGCTCCATCCTGACCTTGATTTGTTCCATCCAGGCAACCCCCATGTATCAAGTATTCTGCTGCAGTCTGTCAGATACGTGCCTGGACTAGTGCTTAAAAAAACAATGACAACAAAGACTACTACCAAAGGCCCAGAACAGATATAATGTGAAAAGTTTTGCAGTGTATTTGTGATAGAGTTTCTCTAGTCTTTATGAAAGCTGTAATAAAGTAAGAGTCAAGGTTGGGAGAATGCAGCAGAAACTAGTGAGTGAAGTAGTTAAAAAAAGCCTCATGGATAACAGTCTTTAAGTGGAAGGCAAAAGGAACTATCAGCCTGATGCTTACCCAGTGGTTCTCCCAGTTTCCCATGATAACTGCAGGTCCAAAGGATCTGGCTGGATTCATGCTGGCACCAGTATAATTGATCTATGGAAAAAAAAAAGAAAATTTCAGACATTGCTGAAAGAGAACCTCTAACACATGTCATTCATTGCCATGTACAATCATTATTTGACAGATCAGCGAAATCTCAAGCTGTTAGGAGCCAAACACACGTGCTCATCATGCAGTGAGCAAAATGAGTACCTAAGATGAACAGACATGTCTGGAGGCCAAAGAGCCATGGCTATGACACACAGCAGCGTCGGGCCAGCACTAGGGTGAGGGTAAATGGGATGGATCATTATTTAAATGGGTTGGGAAACTTACTGCAAATAAATGTCCAATTGCAACTGAAAATCCAATTGCTAAAGCTATGGAGCCAGTGACATCAGTCCGCTTGGAATCACAGCTGGCAAAAATAGTAAACACCAACTGAAACGTGATTATCAGCTCTACCAGGAGACCATGACCGGCAGTAAGATTTCCATGAACCTGAAGAGAGAAGAACACTCCATCTGAACCACATATCTGTGACAGCCTATCATTACAGCAGACATATTTTATCGGTATGGAAAGTAATAATTAAGTCTTCTCACTACCCATCGTTGAAACCCCCAGACCTTCTTCTTTTTTTTTCCAAAAGAAGGAATATTCATTTTGGATTTTCATAGATAATTACTTTTACAATGACCAAGCAGCATTTTATGCTGAATTCCACTTTCTGTCAAGGAAGCTAAATGTGCCACTGTTGCACTTCTAAAACTTTCTTAAGAGACTTATGATTTTATTAGGCAGCGATTAAATTCTTTAATTAGGTTGAAATTAATATGCATCCCAATTAAAATTTAAATTGTGGTGTGTGTGTGTGTGTGTGTGTGTGTGTGTGTTTATATCAACTCTGAAACTCAGTTAATAATATTCCTAATCCGTGAAGAGCTAAGGTCAAATATCAATCTGTTTAGTGTAATCCTTTATGTAGGTCATGTTAAATTTGGTGAGCATGAAAAGAAATCCAACTGTGTTTTCTGTTGATGAGCAAATAATTGTAAAAAATAATTGTGACAAATACATAGAATAGTTACTACAATGGGAAAGGGAGGAAAAACTCAGATAGCACTTGGAGCCGACTAGACTTAGTCAGTTTTCCAGAGCAAACAATGGTTTCCTATGAAGGTTTTTGATGTTGCCAGACTCAATTTTCACTCTCTCAAGAATCATAAAAAATTTCTGTGAATAAATTAGCAATTTTAAGACTCCTTCAAGGCTACCAGGATACCATTTAGTCATCTGTGGGCAAGCTCGAGTGAATCCTAGTCCGAAAAGAAGAGTGTAAGAGACTACCGTGGTGACTCCCAAGCCTCCCACCACACTGGGGGGTGTGACCAGGTAGAGTATCCCAGCTCCTATGATGGCCCCCAGGCACTGGGCCGCGATGTAGAAGACAGACTTGGCAATGCTGATCTTCCGCGTGCACAGCATGGCCACTGTCACGGCGGGGTTGATGTGGCCGCCACTGATGTGGCCGAAGCACTGCACCATAGTGGCAATGCTGAGTCCAAAGCAGAGAGAGATGAGAACCATGTCGACAGGTAAGGGCTTATCCACTCCACCCCAGTTGATGGTGGACCCCAGGCTAAGCAGGACAAAGATAAGCATGGCCAGAAATTCTGCAGTGACAGCCTTCCAGAACGCTTGAGTCCAGACTCCTTTGAAAGCCACCATGATGTTCTCTCTGGTACACAAGGGTCCACACTTGCTGAAAAGAAAAGCGTATCTGCATCAGAAGCTACCAAAGCAGCCCTCCCACTGCAGGATTCAAGGGCTTGGAGGAAGGGGGCCAGCTCTCCACTTCTGGGACTGCTGGGGAGGCATTGCCGAGCATTATTTGCAAACCAAGAAAGAACGCTCTGCAAAGCCTTAGCTGTAGCCAGGGTGTTACGTTAGTGTCCTTTGACTTAATATACACAAATCACCCAGTTTCACTGTACAGTTATCCCAGCTATCCCTAGAAAAGAAAATGTTTCAATCATATAGACCTGGTGGTCATTTTCCTTAGAGCAAGCTTTGAAGTTTGTGGACCTTTTTTTTTTTTTTTTTTTAAATGACATTTACATTTTGAAAATCAAGTCATAAAGCAGACTGGTCTTTTTCAGTTTTGTACTGTGTAGCTTCAACAGGGTCCATTCTGAAAAGGGGTTTGTCCTCCCCCACTCCCCCACCACAAGCAGAGTGTGGGCTTAGAGGGAGCCGAGCTGTCTTTTAGGAAAGTAAAGTCACAGAGAGGACCTCAGCTGGGGCGGACGCCTGTGCCTTCTTCCCCGTGCCAGGAGGGGGCGACGCCAGCAGGAGGAGCCCGGGAGCTGGCCCGCAGGGTACACTGCCCTGCGGCCTCAGAGGAGCCTGGTGGGTTCGCACGGGGCTGCTGAGCACAAGAACGCTGCAGGGTGGACATAGGGGCCCGGGGTTGCGGGGAGCAGGGGTTAAGGGATGCTTTAGAAGCGCCAGTCAGAAAAGGCAGCTGTCTCTTCCTCTCAACCCTTGGTGTGTGTCGTCGTCGTCCCCCCCCCCCGCAGCTCACCCCCAAGGGCTCTTAGTGGGTGGCGTAGGGTGAGGGCAGGGGGGCTGGGACAGGTGAGATGTGGCAGGGAGCCATCCTGTGAGCGCAGGGCTGTTCTCCAGGCTTCCTTCGGTATTCCCCTGTGGGGACCTGGGCGGGGAGGACAGTGTGCATCTTCTTGGGGGCTGTGTGTGTGTGTGTGTGTATGGTCAGCTGGGACTGGGAAGCAGGGCAGAAAGGCACAAGGCACCATTGACACTTCTCCCTCCAGTCTTCTTGTCTTCTTAGTGCATCTGAAGCTGAGAAGAACGAATCTGGGGACATTGATGTCAATTTATCGCTGGCCCTGGTGCTTGCATACTGGTAATTCCACAGCTCTGAGAAATTGGGGGGAGCGAGGGGGCAGGAGGAGCACCAGTTGAAGCCCAGCTTAGCCCAGCCCAGGAAACTTCAAACCCAGTCTCAGAAAAAACAAACAAACAAACAAACAAAAAAAACCCGAGATACTGAGATGTAACTGAGTGTGAACGTTCTTAGTTCAAGCCCCAAAAACAACAAAACAAAAAGCCACCTGCTCATTCTGGCATGAAGTACCTAAGTCCCCAGCTCCCCTTGAGAGGGCAATTACCCTCCAATTAAAACATTATTTAAGACCTCTGCCCCTGACCTTCACCTGGGGCCGCACAGGAGCAAAGGAGGGCAGGGAGTATTTAGCAGACGCTCTGATCAGAGGCTATGCAGAAGTTTAGGCAAAAAAAGCTAAGTACTTTAAGAAATTTAAGATATTCTTTTCTGCCCAAGCTAGGGTGGCAGGATAAAGTAAAGACTGGCTCTGGGGGGGGGTGGGCAGCCACCGCACCCCAACCCTCCTCCCAGGCCCAGGTGAACTCTAAGTGCACCATGTATTTATGAAAGCCCCAGCTGGGGTGCCACTCACTAGAAGAAGAGGCTATAAAGAGTCAAAAGCAGCACTCAGAGCGGGGCGCCCTGGGAGAGACATTAAAAATGTTTGGGAGGGGGTGCAAGGGAGCTCAGGGCGCTCAGGAATGGAAGGAGGAGTTGCCCCCGGCACCTGTGCACTCACCAGCAGCCCACGCTGCAGCAGACGGCAAGGGCCAAGGTGCTACTACTGGTGCTGTCAGCCGGGGCCTGATTCAGTGGGAAAAGGAAGACAGTGGGAAGCAAAGGAGGCCGGTTGGGTATGAAACTCCTTTTTCAGCAACCAAGGGGAGGCGCTCCAGGACAATGCCATCCTCCCTGACACCTCTGTACCCCCCACCCCCACCCCTCTCTGGTGTCCCTGGAGCTTGCTGGCTGCCCATCCCCATACCTGTTTACCTCTCCAGACACCTAATTTACAAAAAAACCAAAACAAACAAACAAAAAAAAAAAACAACCCAAAAGACCAAAAACAAAACCAAGCCCAGTTGCTCTTTCAGCTTTGCATTCTCACCATGCAGACATATTAACAACAGAACACCCAAGCAAACAAAACAAACAGACTTCTCAGGCATGTTTTTAGCCATTTAAAACATCCACAGAATCTGGTCCTACTCCAGGGCAGACAGAGGGAGCAGCCTCTGTCGTTGTGCACCCCGAGCTTGCTGGCACGGACATACCTTTGGCCTCCGCAGGCTCAGCCCAGCGTCTCTCCAGGCCCCCGTTACTGTCATCAGTGTGCTCTTGTGCGTTCACACTGACTGCAGATTATTGACACAATTTGTTTTGCTGCTTTTGCCCCAGAACAAAGGGAATTTGCTGATGTGACCAGGTTGTAGGGAACCGGACACATTGCTGCCTAGCTGAATACCCACTTCATCCCCTCCTGGACAGCTGGGTCGCTGAGGGCATAATTTTTCTGATGAAAACTACTACAGCTAGACCTAGCTGCATGCAGCCCTTTCCTCTTGCTGCATGGACTTTGCTAAAAAGCATCCCCCCCTTTTCCCTACTACTCTGTGCCTCTCTTCTGACTATGTTCAGTATCCAGATTTTAAAAGAGCCACCCACCTGTCCTATAGCTGCCTTCCCCATTCCATCTGAGAAGCCGGAGGGTTCTGTAATAAAAGAATCTCATCTTTTGGCCGTGTGCATGGTTCCCTTAAGGCAAAGAAGGACTTACCCCCACCGCCTCGCTGCGGGTCTATCACTCATGCCTTCCCTGGCCAGAGTGCAGCACTCATTGCCTGCCCTGCGGCTCCCTGTGTGCTAGGAGTCAGATTACGGCCACTCGCCTGATTGGGTTTTTGGAGTGGAGGGGTGGAAAGATTCTGCCCCATGTGGCAGTGGCTAAGTTATATTTGAACTAGAAATAACTTCTCTGTACCTGATCACTATAGACACAGGGCATTTGAGGAATGCAAAAGATTTATTTACATCATGTTTCGTTAGCCAATCATCTTTGCAAAGGAGGATTTCTCCCAATCTTCATTGGAATTTTTCCTCATCAAGGACTTGCTGAGAACTTGTTTTATGTTGTAGTCAGAATTGGACAAGTATTAGAAAGCAGATTGAGATCATCCAGTGATTGAGAACTGGGAACTAGACTTAGCACATCATTTTGAGTGGTAAATAACCAGTGAGTTCTATTTGAAGATTTTGATTCCAAAAGAAGCATTATACACACAACGTGTAACCGAAGCTCCTTTTATAGCATAGGTGGCATTGATTTGTTTAATAAAAAAAGGAAAACAGGAAATATAGGAAATGAGACTGCCCCAGGGCACTCATCTGAATGCTATATTATTAATAATTTTTTAGGTAAGAGATAGCAAATTTAAGAAAAAGATCAGAAGGGGACAAAATTATTGGGAACTGTAGTTAAATTTAATATCTGGAAACCTAGGGACAGGACTGACTGCATAATTTGCTGGTTTCAGTGAAAAATGACTCTTTGGTAAAAAATTATTAATGATTTCAGGGCATCAACCAAAGGCGGGTTCTCCTCAATGTAGGGGCCTGCACAATGGCACCTGTTGAGAACTCACGAAGACATTGCTGCCTAAGGAGTCAGGTAAACTCCAGGGGTTCTGAAGTTAGTTCCCAATGTCAGGGATTCAATATTATTATTTTTCTGTAAAGAATTACTCAGTGTATAGAACTAGATTAATCATACTCTTTGGTTTTTGATATTCTGTCATCATGGTATATACATGGCTCTCTTATTTTATGCTAATTAATGACTTAAATAATATAATTAGTATCTATGAACGAACCAGTCAACTAAACAATGAAAGCAGTGGTAACAACGCATTTTACCGATGTACCGCCCATCTGTTCACTTAATCACTTCATTTCAGATGGGATTTTAAATTTTTTCAGAATAAAGTATGATAAGAAAGAAAAAGAGGAGAAGGATGATTATGCTTGTAAAATGGCCTCATCTGAGTACTTCAGAGAAGGTTCGAAGATCTCTTTAGGACAAGGAGTTAAAACTTTGAACGTGAGCCTCAGACTGGCACTTGGTTACTCCTTCTAGCATTCTCGGGTAAGGACAGCACGATTTTCATTCTTAAGAACCTGGCTGCAGGCGGATCACTATGCAGCAGAGCTCCAGCGCTTTTGAAATGTGCTCTCTGATGAGCAGACTAAATTCTGATGAGGGGAGGTAGGGATTCATGCGAAGCCATGAAGAACATTTGAAATGTTTCATATTCATTCTTAAAGCTGTTGACCACTTGGATTTAAGAATGAGACTTTTTTCAAAAGGTGCAACATCATTTTTTTAAAAATAATTTTGAGAACACGGGCTTACTAGGCAGGTACAGGGTGTGTAAATTTCTCTGACATTATGAAAATGGTACCCGAAGTTCATGTGAACTCAAGGAAACGCACTACAGCGCTCCAGTGCTGTTTTGGTGCCACATTGACAGGAACCCATGAAGACCAGACTCCTTGGGCTGCTGGCTGTAGGGGACATTGTTGGGCCCTCTCCTCTCAGGTCAACCTGGGTTCATTAGTATTCTCTGCATGGCCGTGCCAGTCGCCACCTCACAATGTGCCAGCACAACTTAGTTACCACAGTTTCTCAGACTCTTTTTTTTTCTGCCTGATGTGTTGACAGTCCCCATTCCTGTTCCTAAGGGATCCTGTTCCCATCAAGGGAAGGGCCACCCTAATTGCACCAACTCACACACTTGTTAGTACTCTCAGCAGAGGGCTTGAGCTGAGCAGGATTAACCCTTTATCTGCCCGAGGGAGTTTTCATATTTAGTATTCCCCAGCACCCTTCCTCTACTTGAAATGTCATTGCTGATCTTCCCACAATGCCACCAGCTCCGTACAATAGCCAGTGACTTGCCTGGCTTTCCTCCTCTCTGGAGATGGAAATTGCCTGAAGGATTAGCTGTGGCGATGTAGGCAGATTAGGACCATAGAAGCAAGTGGCTGTCAAATGCTTGTGGTGGCTGGCGGTGGGGGAAGCATGGGTGCGGGGAGCCCTGGTGTACATGAGTAATAGCTTTTGAGTAGAACTTTCTGTATCCACACCTAGATCTCATGAGAGTTGGCATCACTGTACTGGTGAGTTTAAGAGGATGTGCTAGCTTTCTGTTGCTGTGGCAAAATACCAGTGAAAAACAACTCCAAGGAAAGAAGAGCTTGTTTTGGCTCATGGTGTCAGGAGGGTCTGTGCTTGTTGACTGATTTTGTTTCTGGGAGCTTGAAGTGAGACATAGATTGTGATGGGGTGTGGCAGAGAAAAGCTGTTCACCTCATAGCAGCCTTGGAGGGAGGAAGAGACACCGGTAGGGTCCTGCTTCCTTCCACAGAGCTCCAATCCTGTTCCGGTCAACTCCCAGTAGCACCAGGAAAGTTATGATCTCATCATTGGGTGGATCTGCTACAAAGTGAGATGTCAAGATCTCATCAGTTCCCCCAAACAAAAATACTCAACATGAGTATTTTTCAAATCCATGGCACAGCAGAGGGTCTAATGCATTTTAAAGGGGAGTGACACTTTATTAATCAAATCTTGGTTTTCTTATTACATAGTGCTTGGATCACGGGGGATAGGGTAGACACTTGTTGATTTAAAATTCCTCATCCATGGCAGCCAAACTTGTGAATGTTTAATGAAAGAGCCCCAAGAGGCTACTGGATTCTTACACAGGGGGAAGCAGAGAGAAGGTGAAATGAGAATCCCATGAGTCCCAGGCAAAGTTGAGCTGATCAATGCACTTTGCTTCTGAGTTTTTAATCCACTCCATCATCTCTTTTTTCTTTTGGGTCTCATGTATATCTTTGAGATTTGTAGATGCTCCCAACCCTGCCCTCAGAACTTTTAATATTTCCTCATGTGTTCAGAAATCGAAGACAGAAACAAAAGCACTAAAAATGTCAGCAATGCCTCAGTACCAGACGGGAAGTGTCTCCAGGCTGGTGGGGCAGAGGCAATCCCGCTTCATAAATCTTATTTTGCCTTTCACAAGTCTCAGCATCACGAATTCCCCCTAGAGCACTTATATATCAGTATGTTCATTAAAAACAAACAAATAAGCTGAGCAGCAGCAGCAGCCCATGCCACCACAACAAAGTGTTTAATGAGGCTTTGCTCCTTTTCCAAAGAGGCGTTGCCTTATGGTTATAATTCAGTTAAATTTGCCACCAAAAGTGCACAACAAAAACAATGACAAAACAACAGCAAGGAATGCTGGAGGTAGGCCTCTGTTCCTCGCTGAATTGCTCTTGAGGAAACCTTTCCATTGGTCATCGAACCTTTCCAAAATCAATTTCTCTCCTTGCCCCCACGTCCCAAGCATGGATCTAGCTGTCTCTGTTTGGTGTACCAGGCGCATTTGCCTTGATTCTGATCCAGGTGGATTCTGCTTTGGCTGGAGAGTTGTGCTCTGCTGACATTTAGGGCAGGAATTCCCTGGGAAAACAGTCAAGAGATTCTTTTGGTGTTCTGGCGGGACTCCAAAGGGTTTAGGGTTCCCCTTTCCAGGCGAATCAGGAGAGTGAAAGGGAGGGAGGGAAAGAGAAAGAGAAGGACGTTATTGAGTGACTGTATTTCATCTGCAGCTTGTACAGAAAAGCAGAAATGTGGTTGGATGACTGGATACTTTTCTTACCCCTTATCTCTTACCCAGCTAATATGATAGTTTGGGGTTCAGGCATTTTAAAGGTAGCTTAGACATCCACAGTAGAAAACCAGGTTTCTGGAAAACAAAGAATTTTGGGATCTATTGAGCTGGGTCAAATGTGTGAAATGGACACTCACCTAAGTGTAATCTGGTAGTAATTGCTCCAAATGTAAATTCAATTTGAACACACTAAAAGCTAAGTTAACATTTTGATGTTCTTTATCAGCTAACATGGTCACTACAGCAAAGCTCCGAATCCCCCTGTTTTTAGGAGGGCAACAAAGATATTTTCAGTTTCAAGGACAGGGGTTTGAAATCTGTGCACAAGGTCATATGGTGGGTGGAGCAGGCCAAAAACCCTGGGTGATTAAAAGTGCTTTCATTTGTTGTTGCCTTTTATTTTCATATATGCATAGAATGTATTTTGGTCCTATTATCCCACCATTATTCTTCCTTACACCCCTACGCCAGATCCTATCCCCCTTTCTCTTCTTCTTGTGTAATAGTAGTATCCCCTGCCCAACCAAATGCTTTTATTTGTTTGGTTTTGGTAGCAGGAATTGAACTCAGGAACTTGTGCTTGCCCTGAGCAACATCCCTGGCCCCCAAATGCTTTTAGAATAATGCTAGACCCTGAACGTTTTCTAAGAGTAGAAATGGCCACAATCTAGGATCCTCCCCCAAATATGATTGACCTGCTGCTCTCAAGATATGTAGGAGTACCCTGAGATGACCTTTATAATAATTCAGATTAGGCTTCCTCTTGTTTTTTCCCAAATGACCACAGGTCCTTCCCTGAATGTCACCTCCGTGTTTCCCCTTTCCTGTCCACGGATCAGAAGGGCACATCTGAGGAAATGCGAGGGGGTGGGAGGAGTCAGGTCTCCTCTCCGCGCTCTCCTCCTACTTGAGTGTTGCTATCTCTTGCTGCACTCTGGCCCGTGGTCCTGCCATGGGGACCATGATGCCACCAGCCCTTGCTAGCTCCCTCCTTTGCAATCGTTTTAGCTGCAGTGATCTTTCTAATCTCAGCCCATCTGTCTCCTCTGCCTGATGTGTGACTCCGGGATTCTCCTTTCAACATTGCTCAGTATTGGCCTCATCCGTGAAATCTGCCCATCATCGAGTTCAGCAGCTTCAGTCACTTCAAAAGCCCCAGCAACCCATGCTTCTGCACTGCTTTGACAGTCGCGGCAG